TTTTCTTCCCCTGGGGCAGATCTGTTTGCTATGGGCAGAGATGGGGGGAAAAAGAAGAAAACAAAAGTAAAAGGGGCTAATGGGATTTTGAACTCAGTTTCTCAAAATGGCTCAAAAAGGTGCTTTAGAAAAGACTGGTGTGCTCCATGTCTTGCAGGTGGCAGGAGAAAGTGTTATTATCACTGCTGTACAGATGAAGAGACAGGCCCCTGAGAAGCCAGGACAGAGAGCAGGGTCTTGGAGGTGTCAGGACTCGGCCCCCTGTGTCCTGTCCCAGTGATTAGCTGTAGCTCCCAAGAGTGAGCCTTGCCTTGACCACACCCTCATCTCTTCCTCTTCCTCCTCTAACACTCCTGTCTGGGTGTTTCTTCCCATTGAGGTGTGTCTAAGAGCATTAACTGGGCCCTGCTTATGCTGTCATTTTTTGTCATTTCAACCAAAACCAGTTGCCGCCTCCTGTGTCGGACATCAAGGGTATCCAGAAAGACAGACAGCATTCAGCACCCAGGTGGCCTGATCAGTAGGTGGCCACAGTCACTTGACGAGGGGCCCACAGACCATTGGCGAAGGGACTTTCTGAAATCCATGAGTGTAAACAAACTGGCAGAGTCCAGGGCCCTCCATAAAATTGAATTAGAGGACTGAGTGAATTAACTGTTCGCTCCTCTTCGTGAGCAATGCATCTTTAATTACATTTCATAAAAACGTCTGGATGGATTGATGGAACTTTATTTAAACTTTAGGTAGGCACAGGGAGTAAACGGTAGTGCAATATAACATGTTCTGTTAATATAGGTTCAGAACACATTTACTTTATGGCAGTTCAACAGAATCTTTGATGTGGGGCCACTTAAAAATATATTACCTTCCAAAAGATTTCCTTTGGAAGATAGAGTGGGTGCTTGGCAGCTTGTAGGCAGTCAACCAGATGATCAATTGACAAACATGTCAACACTTACAATTCACTATACTGGCTCCCCTGAGACATGCAAAAACACTGGTTTATTTTAGAAAAAGAATATATTTCTCCAAATCCCTTTCATTCACATTGTAGAATTTATGAAGCAAGTCTTGTCAAACATAAGCTCTTCACAATGAAAGAAAAGTCTCTTTGGTCTGTTTGCCCTGAATTTTCTATCTACATGGATTATTTTAGGTTCTGGATAGGTATGTGACATGAGGAAAGAAAATAGATGCTGCTTATAGTAAACAACGGAGCAGACCCAAGCCGCAGAGAGGTTATATTTCATCTTGAGGATTGTATTTATACTTGCAAAAAAACTATTACTGTTCTGCCAGAATATTATATTTGCCACCCCGCCACCCCCATGAATCCTTTTGATGGAATCAGAAAATTGTGTTTTTCTCCTGGGGCAGATCTGTTTGCTAAGTTACTAATGCGTTAGATAAAGGCTGTGCTAAGCACCTCCCTCCTTACAGCTCTGGGGTCCCCAGAGGTATAAAGGAGGAAGGCTGTAATCCCCAGAAAGGAGTTGGCCCAAATAAGGAAACTGGTTTGTGGAGGTTCCTCCTTTATACCCAGTGTTTCTTCTTAGTTTCTAACTCTATGAAGAAAAAGTATAGACTCATGAATCCTTGATGGGTTGGGTGCATTGGCTGGGTTGGGTGCATAAGCAAAGAAAAACTGCCTTCCCTTTTCTCTTGAGTGAAGGAAGTGGATTGGTCTAGCAAGGATAAGGTGGAGAGAGAGAGAGGTAGGGAAGAGTGGCCCAGCTGAGAGGCTGTGGTATTGAGATCATCCCTCACAACCACCAGCACTTTGCTCTCAGAGGCAGAACCATAGACCTGGATTTGTGGAAAGGCCTCGCCTCCAAACTGAGCTGTTGACACAAGACTATTTTGCTGTGGTGGACTTAATTTCTTTAGTACAAATTCTGTTTCACATGGAACTCAAGCTAGGTGAAGTTAGCATGGTGGCCCAAACCCCACATCTTTGTCCCATCTGCTCCTGGGCCAGCTTAGCACTGCTTTACCTTGAACTTTCTCCCCCAGCCCCAGCTCCTTGGCCTTGGAAACCTTGTCTGTCTGTCCTGGGAGCAGCTGCCTTGGAATGCCCATAGCCTTTGTGCTACTGAGCAACACAATGGTAACACCAACTCATTGTCACTGCTGTCTGGACCTGGTAGTGGCTGGAGCCTCTCATTACATCACACAGAGGGACCTAGGGTAGGAACCTAGCACTGTCCTGGTACATGAAGTTTCTCAGTAAATGAAGAAATCCTCCAGGGGGGTAAGGAAGTGTCACAGGCTGCTCCGTGGTTGACAACAGGAATGAAGCTGCTGTCCCCTTGTCTGCTACCTGCAACATGGCAGGGGTGAGTGTTTGCTGCTGCTTACCAGCCTAGGGGGGAGGGTGACAGCAGGTCTCAGGAGCCTTCTGCCATGCACAGGTGTGGAGGGCAGGTAGTTCACTCTAGATCCCTGCAGGGAGTGCTCTTTGATGTTGACCCCTCCATAATTTGACATGATGCCTGGCTCCTGGCTGTCCACTTCCATCTCTTACCAGTTTGGTGGGGGACACTCAAGTCAGCCTGAACTTCTACCACACAGACCTTTAAGGAAGGAGGCCTGGAGGTCAGGTGGCTCTCCTCCCCTCCCCTCCCCTTAGGCTGATCTGGCTCCACTTCATATTCTAGTTCCAGAAATTTCACTTTTTATTGTCCCTGTGGTTTACCCTACACTGTACCCCTGTTCATCCTCTGTGTCTGTTCAGTCCCTGCAGCTGGATTTCTGCCTTGTTTCTTAAGACCTCCAGGAATCCTGTTCTAACTCTTTGCACAGGGCAGGGCACACTTTCTGACCAGTGTTCTCGGAAGCCACTTACCTGTGGGCGAGGTCTCATGGGCCACCCACACTGCCTCCTGCTTGCTCGGCCGGGGGCCCAGCTTGCCCAGGACCCGCCTTTGTTTTGACCTCCTTTGACTGCCCAATCATTTGAGGACAGTGCCCTGATCCAGAGGAGGCAAATTTCCTTAGCTGGTTTCATTTGCAGGCTCTTACCCCACTCCACCCATTGCCTGCAGCCCAGGCAGTTCCCAGGTGTCTACCCAACCGGAGATGTGGCTCCACTGGTCCAGCTGTGGTTTGAGCATTGCTCTGAGATAAGCGTAGCCACACAAGCAGATGTGAAAAAATGTGTACAGACAGTTCCAATAGACGGGTGGCTGTGGCCCTTTTGGTATTTAATCAAGTGTTCTTTAGGTGTCTTTGAAGAGATAAGCTCCATCACCTTGTTCATTAATAAATGGACAAGTCAGGTGAGATCCTGACCCCTGGGGGAGGAAGCTGGAGTCCCTGGCACCCACTGTAACATGTTCTTGAGCCCACGATCTATTTCAACAAGAAAGGATTTGAGGTCTATAATTTTCCCAAACTTTAAAATCAGCTTTGCAGCAGAACTGGAAGATTGCCCCTTAGCTGTACCCGTGGGTGAGAATTCTTGTCTTTTGACAACCCACTGAGCCGGCATTGAATCACCCAATTACTGCAAATTCTTTTCTAAATAGAAAGCACTCCACAGCCTCCGGTGGAAACATTCCAAGATCTGCAGCAAATATCTAGCTCATTGGCAGAAGTAGTTTTTGGCATGAAGGACCATTCTTTGCTTTAATTTCAGCTCTAGTGGAAGGTCTACAGATGACCTGGGAATAAATTTGGCCAAGAAGGTTCAGGGGGAGATGGGCATGAGGTGACCCACACCATCTCGTCAGCTCCAGCGCCCACCGGATGTGGAGACTAGGCTGCCTTGTGTGGGAAGCTCGGTTGTGTCCACTTGGTCCAAGAATCATCCCACCAGCTTGTGTAGGGCCGCATGCATGTTTGATACACATTGAGGCCAAGGACAGCATGGCCCTGGCTGGGAGCTGGAAGCTTTGAATTGATAGCATTGAAGCTGAGCTCTGGCAGGAGGGAGGATGGGTGGGGCTGTGTGTTCTAATGCACCAGCCTTCTCATGTCAGGGGCAATTAGCTTCTAAACAAAGCTCTTAATGGAGACTTCGATGCTTTGCCAGCACTCAACCTTACGAAAAACAAAAACCAAAACCAAATCTTTCCCACCAATTATACAACTACTAATGCTGTAGGCAGCTGGGGTGATGGAATAAATTAGGGCAACAAAATTCAAGGGAAAAAGCATAGGTTCTAGGGACATCTATGTCTGTACCAACTGTTGCTTTTTTTCCTGGCAAGACACTTGGGGGAACTCCTCCCCACACTTTGGTTCTCTTATCTGTTTAACTGGAGAATGCTATTTATTTTGTTCGCTCTTGTGGGCATTAAATGATTTCAACATTGTCATAGGTTACCAGGTAAAACACCTGGCCTGCTAAGCATGTAATTAATCTATTTCCTCCCTAAATTAAGGCCAGCACTTGAAGGGTTAAAAATGTCATTGTGGGGTTTAAAGTTTTGGTTAATCTTTGAACCCCCAAGGCAAAGCAGGATCTGTGATTGACAATGGCCATTGTATAAAGCATCTTCAAAGCCTTTCCAAGATACCTCATTTGGAGAGTCTGCCCACCACCTGTGGGGCAGTGTGGATGCATGGCTGTCACATTGTGTCTCTGGGGTGACTGTTGTCAGCGTGACAGTCAGGCCACGTCCTTCTGCTGGGACTGGGTCTCTGGCTGGGGTTTGTCCTGGACGTGGCTGGTGCGGGCTTCTGGCTGCAGCCCATGGCCCAGCACACAGAGCTCTGGGGGTGATGCACACCTGCTGCCGCCACCCTGCGGTTCTGGGGCACAGGGGCTGCTCCAAGTCGCTGCATTCAGCTTGGGGCTGTCCTCACTGCTGCTGTGGAGAGAAGGACAAGAGCAGATCAGATTCCTCCGCTGTTCCTTCTGGCTCCCTCCCCGGCACTGCTCTGTCCCTTCCCATCCTCACACCAGCGGGCCCACCCTTGATGCCAGGCCTCTACCTCTCGGTTGGGCTTGTGGGCCTGCCTGCCTGGTCTGGAATTGGGGAAGCAGCTCCCAGGGCCTCAGCTGACAGGTTGAGTCCTGTTCCTTCCCCTGATGCCCAGGATCCTGCTGCTAGGAACACAGCAACTCCCTCAGGGGCTCTGGAGCTGTGCCTTTGTTTTGTTTTTGAGTCTTGAGCACTCCTTGTTAATAAAGGCCTGGGCTCAGCTAGTGGAATTAAAAACAACAACAATAACAGCAAAGAAAAAGCCTGCTTTGTGCAGCTGCCACCCTTTTACTGAATGGAATAAAATGGAAACTCCTTGGCCCGCCTTGCCCAGCATTTGGCTAGAGCAGAGCTTCCCAGCTGCTGAGTGACGTGGCCAAGGGGAGCTATGCATGGGAAAAGAACCCCACATGGTCTCCAGTCTGTGCATACTTCTGGAGAGCAGAATGGAGGATGTCTCAAAGCATGGAGCAAGCCTAGGTCGAAGGGACCAGCTCCAAAAGTCATACTGGCTATCTATCTGAGGTAGGCTGGCCCAAGGAGTCCTGGTGGAGGTTGGAGTGTGGCTGCCTAGGTTCAAGTCCTGGCTTTTCCACTTACTGACCATGTGTCCTGCAGCTGGTTAATGAATCCCTCTGAGAAATTGTAATAATCTCATCAGGCGCTCATGGGTATCAATGTTGGATGTAAAACTCTCAGCATAGAAATGGCACATACGTGTGTAATAAATGGGTAGCTGTCTATGGTGCTACTTTGTAAAATTAATAGGAAGTCACATCTGGAAAGAACTCCAGGGACCACCTTATCATGCTACTCGTGGGCACCTGAGGCTCAGAGAGGTGGGGCCTAGGTCAGAGCTCTCAACTAGTTACTTCAAGACCTGCACAAGACTTCTGGTCCCCACCTACAGACCCGAGGGCCCTTCTCTCTGCCACTGATAGCATGTTCTTGATTTTTCTGTGAGCTTTATAAGGAAGTGTTCTCAGCTCTGCATCTGACACCAAACCAGTGGAGGACAAGTTTGCAACTGGATCTGAACAAGATCAAGAGAGAAGGAGTAGGAAGGGCGTGGATGCGATGGACCCGCATCCTTGGTTTCAGGCAGTGAGAAACCCACTGTGTGCCTTAAAGCAGTCTGCATCTGGCTCCATCACGGTCTTTTCAGGTGTTCAGGGCCCGGCGTGATTTTGCCACCTTACTTACTTCTTTTCTCTGGGGCTGCTTGGGGAATGGGAAGGCATAAGCAGGGTGCACTTCATCCCTGATGAGCCTTTGCTGCCCCCCACCCCCTACCCCTGTCCCCGGGGGTCTGGCAGGAAGAGGAAACACATGCACAGAGGAAAGTCCAGGCCATACCACTCTGGAGGCTGACATGGAGCCTGACAAACAATTTGGTATAGAACTCTTTTTTAGCCCCATCCAGGTTCTGTGTCTATGAAATTCAGTTCAGGAAACTCATTTCCCTGGTTGTTACCCAGTGGCTGGGATTCTACCTCTTCTTGGCACCGCTAGGAAGGCAGGTTGCCCAACTGCTGCCCCACTAACCATGGGGCCACCTGAGACAGGGGACTGGGAGGGGGCTGCAGAGAGCTCCTGTCTCATCAGTTCAAGCCAGAAAAAGATGAAAAGTATTGCATTTAGGGGAGAAAGTCTGGACCTTTCTTGAGGTGCACACAGTACCCCATCATTCTGAGACCTAGAGACTGGTATCTCACTAGGAGATTCAGCTCAGGCCTAACAATTAAAGCTCAGCCATTGTAACCTCTGAGAACTGTTCCTGTTCCCCGGGGCCCAAAGGTCAAGAGGATATAGCATGAGGTGACAGGAAGAGAATCAAATCCAAGTACAGGCCAGTTGATCCTGTAAGCCTGCCCAGACAGCCAGACGCAGTGGGCGTGACAGGTCCCTGCAAGCCTCTGCTTGAGAAAGAGCCTGCTCTGAGCAGTCTCTGGCTCTTGGCATCCACTTGTTGCTCAATCTTGGGAAACCATGCCTTGGTCCCTGCTCTTGTTTTCTCACACGCAGAATGGCAGAAAATAAGCTTGTCTTCAACAGAGAGGCAAAGGCTGGCCTGTTTCTGCTAACAGACACCAAATTCATACCTTGGGACAGGATGAGATAGGGGAATGAGCATATTTTCATATGCACAATTTGGAATGGCTTAGAGGTGTGGTCATACCAAGTGACTCTCCATGTGACATTGAACAGGTTACTTCTTCAGGCTACGCACACACCAAGTATTGATTCAAGACATAAAACAACTTTTAGGCCACCCTGTTCTGGGGAGAAACCTGAGAGAAAGGCATTATTTTCTTCTTGAACAATTTTATGTTCTTCAACAATTTTATAGCTCCTGCTGTTTTAAAATGTTAGTGTTTTTAATTAATGCCATTTTATTGTCCCTGTTCTCTCAAGCTCTTCCCCTGAAGGGCACAGTTTTAAAAATCTAATAACTGAACAAGGAGCTAGTGTGAGGAATAATGCATTAACATTTATAGAGGTTCTTAGATGAAAGCCACTCTGCTGTAGGAAGCTCATTTTAGATTTAAGAAAAGAGCAATGTTACATTAAGATTCTTGCAAAAATAATCAATATTTCATTTCTTTCAAGTGGCTGGGGGAGTTTATATAACTGTTATAATGTGCAACTTTCTTGAGATAATATCTTTATTTAAAATTGACTGCCGAATACTTTGAAAAAAATCACCATTATGCTGGACAGACTGTGAAGCTGGAAACATACGTCACTCAGGCAGAAATTAACTGCTGATTTACACAATTGTGGGCAATGCAGCGATAGCAAGGACTGGTGTTGGTTGAACTTTGTCTGATCTGATATTAAGATACACTGAGGGAGTTCCTTTTTAACAGTCCTCAGACTGACATTTTCCCCACATATTCTGTGATTTTTTTATGCAAAAGCTATACTGATTCATGTCCCCTTGCAGCTGTGTGCCCAGGCCTGCCTGCAGGCTGGGCCAGTGACATGCAACTCACTTCTCCATGCTGAGAAAGGCACACTTAGAACTCAGTCTGCCAAGGACAGGAACAGCAGCCCTTCACCTGGATTCTGGTGCTTATGTAGGATTTTGTTCTTAATCTACAAGGCTCTGAAGTTGGTGGAGAAGTGGAGTCAGGTGATCAAGGGCCTGGGAAACCAGAAATTTATATTCCATACCTCTAGGACAGGCCATTCTGGAGTTGTGCACTGGGGATCCCTGGGGACCCACCAGACACTTTCAAGGGAACTCGTGGGTTAAACCTATCTTTATCTTCACACAAAGATGCTACCTTCCCTTTTCACCCATTCTCTTGGGTGTGTGGTGCTGTCACACATGATGTCACACATGTCACACATGATGATGTATCACTGCAGATTGGCTACAGAAGCCGAGGCTACAGCAGAGGCTCTTTTCAATTAAAATCTTTGAGTATTTGGTTGTCTTCCTGTTGAGCCAGACACCAAAAGGGTTTGCAAAAATGGAAGACAGTGCTGCCATTCTTCTCATTAAATTTTTTTTTTGTGGTTGAACAAAAAAGTGTTTCATGGGAATGTATCATCTGTGTTAACAGAGAATGTGTTTATTCTTTTTAAAAATAATATTTTATCAATTTCTCAGTTTTAACTTTTAATATAGTAAAAATGGGTAGACATAACCCACATATATGAAGGCTCTTTGGGGTTCTCAATATTTTTTCAGAGTTTAAAGGGGTCCTGGGACCAGATAGTTATAGAACCTCCCAGAATCCAACTGCTGGGTCCAGACAAAGTTGCAGGCCATGATGGCAAGTCATTTCATCTGTAAAAAAACAGTCCCCCCCCCAAAAAAAAAAAAAAAAAAAACCAAACAGTTTCCCTACCTGTAAAATAAGGGCTGTGAGGTGTAGGCTAACTTGGTTGTTTTAAGATTTTCTCTTCTTTATTTTTTTTTAAATTTTAATACAGCAGAGGCTCTTTTCAATTAAAATCTTTCTCAGGAATCAAAAATATGTAATGTAGTAGATAAAAGCACAGTCCACAGACTGTTGTGGTCATATCCACTCTTTGAGAGTATTCCTCTTAAACATATTGAGTCTTGAGTCATAAGAAATTCCTTTGTTCTTTTATAGAAAATTAATTTTGTGTCCATAATTAAGTGCAGAACCAGTAAAAATGAATGGTTAGCTAGAAGCCAGGGTCAGGTAAGAATCTGAATACAGCTACATTTTTCAAAAATGAAACATCTATCAGAAGTAAGTTTGTTGTACTAAAGCCAGTATTTAATAAAATGGACATTACCCTAAGTACATGTATGAAGACACGAATAGATTGAAAATACTTTTTGTACAATCAGTGACTTGAAAAATTGTGTTTTATATGGGTAATATGAAATGAATTGCATTCTGCCATCATGTATAACAAATTAGAATAAATAAATAATAAAAAACAAAATGGACAATGTATAAAGTCTAAAAAGAAAAAAAGCACAGTCACTCCTGGTGGCGAGGAGACTGAACTCGGACCCCCACACCTCTTTTTCCCATCTGACTCTTGAAGCTAAATTTGAAAACTATTGACCCAGACAATCTGTTGGGCCCACTGCCTCTGCTTTTTCTCCAGGGAAGGGCAGTGACCGAGCTCACTCCTTACCTGCTCTGGTCAAGCTGGGGTTCCCAAGAGGAGCTAGTGGAGCTGGAGCCAGGCAGCTGAATCCAGACACCAGGGTGGCAGGCAGGAGCTGTCCTTTTGACGAAAGGCAGAGGGTTGAGGGCACATAGAGCCATTCTCCTCTGTGAATCTGCCTTCAGTCGAGGCTCCAAACTGCTTCTCCAGCATCCTGCTGGGGTCCCAAGAGCGCCCCCGGGTTCTGGTGGCAGTGATGTGGAGGTCTGCAGGTGGGCTGTCAAGGATGGTGATTTAGCTTCAAACAGAGAGGAGGAGGCAGGGCAGAATATGGAACATGTGTTCCGGGATGCTTTGGCTGTAGGGGCTTGACTGCCTTCCGAGTCTCTGGTCTCTTTGTATCCCTGAGAGGGGGACCCTGGGGGGGATGGGGAGGGCACAGAGGAAGGGGGGCTTGCTTCCGTGTGCTGGGCAGGACTGGAGACCTTGGGCTGTGCAGGTGGGCTCCCCAGGGGTAGGCTGGGCAGCTTGTGCTGGGGTGGCGGGGAAGTTCGCTTCTTTGTGTTTGGTGGGCTTAGGATCCCAAGGCTTGCTGTTGGGCTGGGAGCTCCAGGGCTAAGTGGTGGACTGGAGGAGCTGAGCACAGTGCTTGGCTGAGCAGGTCCAGGAGATGATGGTAGACCCCGCTGCTTCCTGTCTACTTGGGGTGCCCAGTGTGCCCTGGTGGGAGAGCTCTTCCTGACTACTGGGGGGCTTCTCTCTCGGCTCTGCCTGGAGGCCTCAGGAGAGTGCGGCCCACGTGTGAGTCTGGCCAGGCTCCGTTCTGAAGTCCTGCTTTGCCCAGATGTGGGGCTGGTGTGGTGCCAGGGAATTGCCTTCCGGTGGTGCTTGGAGAAGCTTGTGGCCTTCTCTCCCTGGGCTTGACTGTGAGCCCTGCCCTCCGCCTCTGGGTTGGGGCTGGCTGCAGAAGAGAGGTTCGGATCCTGGACAGGCTTCCTGAGATTGCTGCCACTCTTGCTGCTTCCTGGCCCTGCGCTGCACAGCCTGGTGGGGCTGGCAGTGCTCTTGCTGGGCAGCAAGTCAATGGGGCTCATGGAAGCTCTCAGCTTTGGGGAAGCCCACGTTCTTCTGGTAGGGCCAGCCCGTCCCAGCCCTGGTACTGAGGACTCTTCAGGGGAGCTGCCTGTTGACTTTCTGCTTTCTGGATTCTCCAGAGAAGTGAATGATTTATCCATCAGGACTTCCAGAGGTGGTGGAGGGAGGTGCTCTGGGTCCCCCTCTATTTCACAGTAGATATCCTCATTCCTGGATGCTTCTGCTGTAGGCAGAGGGGGAAATATCGGTGCTACAGGTCTCCAGCCTGTGTCCACCTTGAGACATTCTCTGCTTCCTGTCGGAGAAATTTGGGGCTTAGTATACATAGGAGCAAGGCCCCTATAAATGGGAAGTCTGGGAGGCATGATGGGGACTCCCCACTTCCTGAGGCAGGGGCTTGACCCTGAGTTCCTGGAGTCCCCCAGTGTCTTCACACTCTCAGTGGGACTGAAAGTTTCAATGAGTTTCTTGACTGATGTTCTGGTGGGAGAGCCCCTGACGAAGCAGTCCTTGGCCCTAGGAGTCTCGTCCTTCTCACCAGGTGGAATGGCATTTGGCAGCAGCTCGGCTCTCTTCTGCCAGGGCTGTTCGCCCTCAGAGTGGGGACTGCATTTCTGCAAAATGCTCTTGTCCTGACTAGGCAAGATGCTGAAATTCTTGGTAAGGGATGCCTTGAGTTTGCTGATGGTGTTGCTGGGGCTCACCCTGCAGTTGCTGTTGGGCCATATCGCTGCTCCTCTGGACTGCACAATCTGCTCCTTTCTCTGTCCCTGCCTTTTGGCGCCCTGGGCATAAAATGCCTCCAGTCTCTGACTGAGGTCTTTTTGGACCCTTCGCAGCTCCTGGAGGGTGGGGTCCTCCACATGGCTCTTAAGGCACGTCTCGGACTGGGACCTCTGCTGCCTCTCGGGGGTCCTCCTGCTGCCACTGACCGTGCTAGGTCTCCGTGGGACCACAATCCTCCCCTCCTCCTCCTCAGACCAGTCCTGGTGCGCCAAAGGTGCAGGGACAAACTTGATCCTTTCACTGATGGCTTCCTTCATCTTCAGAATCATTTCCTGGGCCTGGGGGCTCCTAAGCTTCCTGGAGTGTGACTGAAACGGGCTTTCCCAGTCTGCAGGTGAAGATCGTGGCCTTGAAGGTGACACGTTTTCCTGCCCTGCACTTGGACTCATGTTGCTAACTTCATCTTCCTCCTCGTCTGGGCTGCTGTTCTCACTTTCACTAAGGGGTGGAACCTCCCCAGACCTGGAGCTTTTAGGAAGCTGTACTTCCACAGGGATCCCAGCCCCCAGGGAGTCACACCAAGCACTCTTGCTTGCCTCTGAAGGCCTGGAGGTCAGAGTTTCTGGGCCAGTGCTGTGGGGGCCTGGGATCCTTACTTTGCCCTGTGAGGTTGGATGCACTTTTGCAATGGGAGGCCTTGGACAGTCCTGGGGTCGGTCCGAACCCATCCAGAATGCACTTTGCTGCCAGGCACGTCCTGATAGCCGGGCCTCCATCTGGGGTGAGATCCCTGGCTTCAACTCTACAGCCTCCGGGACAAAGTTCCAGCTGGCCTGCTTACCCAGCTTGTCCATAGATTTCACGGACTCATTGTCGGCACCAATGCCACTGTCCTCGGAGCACAAGGGTACATCCTGCAGCCCAGGGTCTCCATGGCCACTTGCCAGGCTCTCCAGTTGCCTCAGAGCCCTTAGGAGGCGTTCATCCACACTCCTCTTTGTGCTCAGCTGATTTTCCAAGTGGCTTGCCGTGGAGTGGAAATAGCTGCTGGAACTCTCCAGGAAGCTCCCGGTGAGGGCAGCCACCATGCCGTGGAGCACCTGTAGCTTGCTGACCGTGTACTGCAGCAGCTGTTGCAAGAGATCTGGCTGCTCCTGGGGCTCTCCTTTCTTCAATGGCCATGCCAGATCCTCCCTAACTTCCTGGAGGAGCACTTCTCCATCCTTGGAGATCTCCCCAAGGAGCTGGCCCACCTCCTCAAAGCACAGCAGCAGGAAACTGAGCATGGGCTGCAGCAGCCCCTGGGTCTGGCTGGCCTGCTGGACCAGGTGCAGGATTGCTTCATACTTGGAGAGGCTGGCGTGCAGGTAGGTGTAAGCCTGCTGGTGGGCCTTGACCAGGGGTTCAGGAAAGTCCACTTTGCCTTCTGATTCAGGAGTAGGGAGGATAGTTTGGCTGCAATGGCCCTGTTTGCTTGAGCAGTAGCATGTCGGCTTCCTTTCCCACCTGGAGGTCTCCTGTGTAGTACTTTCCATACTCTCTTCCCTGGGAAAGGCTGCCCCTTGTGTCCCATGGGTACCTTTTGTCTGGAACGGAGTGTGGCTTTGTGGTTTGTTCAGCCAGGTTGGAGAGGTTCTGGTTTCTGAGATCAGTCCTTCCATATCTCCCATGGGCTGACCAAGACCTTCAGCTGTGGTTTGGGACTTCCTGGAACTCAGCTGCTCCTCTGCTGGCCTCTGTCCCTGGGGCAGGCCCCCCCAAGGGTCATAGCAGGTAGAACACTGAACCAGCAAAGGGATGGAACCTCTTCCACTGCGCCCATGACATCCTGGCAAAATAGCTGTGGGCTTTTTCAAAAACTGAACACCACTTTTTGTCAGGTTGTTCACAATGTCGCTGTGTGAAGGTGTACATCCCATGACTGCAGCTGGCCTTGCACCCACAGCCTTCCAAATTTTCAGAGAATCATCTTGAAGATAGGACCAAAATTAGTCCTTCCAGGCAATTCCAGACCAGATTCCTTTGAAGTTCATGGCAGGAAGTCTTGAACTTGGAGGCAGCTTTCTTTACTTCCTTGGTTGCACCGAAAAGAGGGAGTGGTGCTTATCGTCCTGTTATCCTTCTAAGTTTTGAACCTTCTGTTGTTTAGTGAGCAGCGGGACAATTCTAAAGGACCTCAGTCTCCCGGATTATGGGCCTGTGTTTTGCTCGTGTCCTGACAGATGTAAATGCAAGTGGAGCTTTAAGCCTATTAGGTTAATCATGCCCTAGCCAGTCAGCACTCACTGTGTGTTCTAATATAGAACTTCTCAGCACTTACTATCTTGGGAAGCGGATTATTTTTGCACGTGCTTATGCTTTTAATTCCGTTCAGACGCCTGCCATATGAAACCTAGAGAAATAAGCTTTAATTGCAAAAGGCTCTGGAAGAGACACATTTGTGGAAGGAAAGTGAGGGCTCGCCAATTATAGACGCTGGAAGAGAAGTGACCTTCACGGTTTAATAAGGGCAAACCAGCCGAGTGTGCTCCAACCTGCTGCAGTCAAGAAGATCCCAGAACAGACAGGGACCCCAAAGCTGTACTTTGTTGTCTGTGTGGCTTACAAATCCCCACGACTCTAGTGACAGACAATGTTCCTAAATAATAAGACAGTGAATAAAGAAGACAGAGTTGCTTTCCTGTATGTTAGAAAATCTAGTCAGATAGCAAGAGAGCTATCCTTCCTGCTTTGGAGGAGGAAAGCAGGAAAACTCACCACCAGATGAAGCTCAAAGCCAGTCACTATGGACTACTGGGAAGAGCCTTTTTATTAAACCTTTCTCATAGGAAAACAAGCTAAACCTGGGCACCAGAGAGTTATTTAGTCTCTAGGAGTAGAACTCAAAGGGAAAAGGTTTTTCTTCTCAATGGCATCTTGCCTTTGGACAACAGTGGCAGCTGCCCACTTAAAAGTGACTTTTAAACCTTATTTGTTGTCAGCAAAATCTAGAGCATGGACTTGGCATAGGGAGACATGAGTTTAGATCTTGACTCTGCCTTTGAGTTGAGGGAACTTCTGAAAGCTATTTAACTTTGTGAGGCAGAGATCATCTTTAAGAGGAGGACGATGGCATCTACTTCACTGAGCTCTTGTGGGTATTAAGTCAATCAGTGTTTGGTAAATGCTTGGTCCAGTGCCTGGCACATGCTAGGTACTCAAAAAAAAGAAGACAAAGATGAGAAAAAAAAAAGGTGCTCCTTATTCCTTTCCCCCTGGAAGCTGGGCCACTTATAATAATAAGTCATAAGAAAATTAATTGTTTGTCAAGAACCAAACTCAGGTCCTTTCCTGAATTGTCTGGAAACAATTACTGCTGGGCTTGGAGCCCTCTAAATCTGTTTGGTTGGCTATTCTATGCTGTACAGCGGGGCCCTGGGCTTCGTGCATGGCTTCATCAGGATTTTTCCAAGGCCTCATTTAGTAGTTTCTCTGTTCTTAAGCCCAATGATTGCTAGTACCTGCTGGAGGCTTTTATTAACCATTTCCCATTTTTGAACATCTAGGTCATTACCAATTTTGAGTAGCAAAAATATGGCATTGAGCATCTCTGAGCATCTCTGAGCATCTCCTGGAGTTGCACAGATCGGAGTTGTTATTCTGGTTTTACAGTCATTTTCACTTACTGAGCCCTGCACAACCAGTAATAGTAATCCTGTGTGTGTCAGGATGTTCTAGAAACAGAAAGGACTTAAAGCCACTTCCCGTGCTTCAAGGAAGCTGGAGACTGGCTACTGGGGCTGCGTGTGGAGCCCTGCTGATGCTGATCAAGGGTGATGCCCTAGAGTGCATCATTGATAAAATTCTTGGATCTGTTTATTTGAAGCAGAACTCAGGGGAAACACAAACTGTGTGAGTGCCTGGGACGAGCTGTGTCAGGCATCAAGATATTGTTTCATTTGTTACAGCGCCCGGCTGGCTGGTGGACAGAGATGCTATGTTCTGAGACTCTTCTTTCTTCTTAGGGTCTTGCATTGAACACAGTGAAAAGCTCATCTGAAGTATGCTTAATGTAAATTCTTCTCCTCTTGGGATTTGGGCCCTGGCCTGAATTATCTTTGTGAAAACTTCTGATCTAAGTGACTAAAATTATTTCTAAACCAATGATCAAAATCAAAGTATTTGCCTGGAGGATCATCTGTCAGATAGCTTTGTTCATGTTAGACTGCTTTCCTTGACTATTACAAATAATTTAGGAAGCTGTTTATACATTGCCATTCATTTTTCATTAAGACCAACTTTTGTTTTGTTTTTTCTCTTTAAAACTGAGATAGTTTCAAATGAAAACAAAAAAGCTTTTTTGGGATGTGTTTGCAAAATGGTATTACTTTGGAAAACATTTAAACATTCTCCTTATGGTCTATCAATTCCACTTATAAGAATTTACCCAAGAGTGTTAAATGCATATGAAGACAGAGACTGGTACAAGAATAGTAATAGTAATTTGATTCATAATATTCTGAAATTGCAAACAATCTAAATACCTATAAATAGGGAAAGTATTATTTTTATATAATTATATAATCTAATACTTCCCAGCAACAAAAGAAACAAACTACCGAAACATATAACAACATGGATAAATTTTAAAAGTATTATTATAAGTGAAAGAAGCCAGACATAAGAGTACCTGCTGAGCTGGGTGTCATGGTGTATGCCTGTAATCCCAAGTAACTCGGGAGGCATGATGAAGTGGGTAGCAAGTTGGAGGCCAGCCTCAGCAACTTAGAGAGGCCCTAAACAACTTAGTGAGTTCCTGTCTCAAAATAAAAAAGAAAAAGGGCTGGGGATGTGACTCAGTGGTAAAGTGCTCAGGGGTTCAATCCCCAGTACAAAAAAAGAAAAAAGTGCATATTGAAGTACTCCATTTTGGGTCTGGGGATGTTGCTCAAGCAGTAGCGCGCTCACCTGGCATGAGTGCGGCCCGGGTTCAATCCTCAGCACCACATACAAACAGAGATGTTGTGTCCGCCGATAACTAAAAAAGAATAAATATTAAAAAATTCTCTCTCTCTCTCACTCTCTCTTTTAAAAAAAAGTATTCCATTTATATGAAGTTTAAGAACAGACAAAGTAATCTATATAGAATTCAAAAGAGTGGTTATGTCCAGGAAGAACTATTGACTGTTATGGACATGAAGGAATTTCTTAGGGTACTTGAAATTGTTTATATCTTAATTGGATGGTGGTTAAATGAGGGTATAGAGGTGTAAAAATTCCCTGAGTTGTACAGTTAAGTTGTGCACTTTATGTATATCGTACATTTACCCCGAATTAAAATGTAGTATTTTATGTTTTGCTTTATGCCTAAAAGAGTCTTAGCTATGATGCTGTTAGTCTTGGATAAGGATCCATGTCTTAGTTGTGTATTGTTGCATAACAAATTAGCATAAAATTTTGCAGCTAAAACAACACATATTATTTCACAGTTTTTGTGGGTTAGGAATTTGGGAGCAACTCAGCTGGGTGGTTTGGCAAAGGGTCTTTGTGAGGTTGTAGTCTAGATACCATCCAGGGTTACAGACATCTGAAGGCTTGCCTGGCGCTGGATTATTGGTTCCAAGAGAGCTCATCCACATAGCTGTTGATGGAAAGCCTCAATTCCTGAGTATATTGGCCTTTCCACAAGGCTGCTTGAGTGTCCTTACAACATGGTAATTGGCTTCCCTGAAGCCAATGGTCCAAGAGAAAGCAAGGAGAAGGTCTCTATGTCCTAATCTCAGAAGTCAGGGCTAGGGCTGGGACTCAGCAGTAGTGCACTTGCCTGGCATGTGTGAGGCACTGGGTTCAATTCTCAGCACCAAATATAAATAAATAAAATAAAGGTCTAGCAACAACGAAAAAAAAATTAAAAGAAAGTCACCTTTACTTTATCCATATTCTTTTAGAAGCCAATCACTAAAAACAATCACACTGAAGAGGAAAATTATGTTCCACCTTCAAAGGTCATTTAAAAAAAAAATCTAACTGGGCATGGTGGTACACACCTGTTATCCTAACTCAGGAGGCTGAGGCAGGAGGATCACAAGTTCAAAGTGAGCCTCAGCAATTTAGTGATGCCCTAAGCAATTCAGTGGGACGCTGTCTCAAATAAAAAGTGCTGGCTGTGTTGCTCAGTGGTTAAGCACCCCTGGATTCAAACCCTGAAACAAAAATAGATCTAGGCATATCATAGGTCAAATCATGGCATCCCAAACATAATTATATACAGTAAACATTAGTTTATAGTGGTGCTAGTTCTTGTCCTTTTGCATGTTAAATAAGTTCCACCTCATTTTGGTCAGCTTTTGGTTACTATGGTCAAAACACCTGATAAGAACAACCCAGAGAGGAAAAGTTTATTTGGGGCTCATGGTTTCAGAGGTTCAGTCCATGGTTGGCCGACTCTGCTTTGGACTTGAGATAGGGCAGAACATCATGGGAGAAAGGCGTGGAATGGCAGAGTAGAGCTCCTTGGTTTATGGAAGCTGGGAAGGAGAAGGGGAGAGGGAGAGGGAGAGGGGGGGGAGGGGGAGGGAGAGCAAGGAACAAGTCGTAGTCCAAGGGTATGTCCTAGTAAGTAAACTATTTCCTCCAGCCATGCCCCACCATTTAAATTATTAAACCATCAAATGAATTAATCCACTGATGATTATATCCCCTAAGATATAATCATTGCCTAAAAGTCCCACCTCTAAACCTTGCTGTAATGGGACCTTGCTTTCAAAACATTTTTAGGGGACATTAAAAGTCCAAATAGCTCTGAACTGATTCACCAACAAAAGATGGTTCCAATGTGGCACCAATTTTGAATTAAAATAAAATGCAATTTAAGCACTGTCTAGAATTATGTATAGATGAAATCATTTAGCTTTTTTTTTTTTTTTTTTGGTTAACTTTT